AGGAGAAGAAATTGATAAAATTTGCAGTACACTATATATTGCCAAGATTCAATACAAATTACTATCATCGTGCGAAACCTGAATGCAGAAGTTGGAAAGGAACAAGACAGTGAAATAGCTAACAAATTCTGACTAGAAACCCATAACAGACACAGAGAAAGATGGGACCAATGCTGCATAGCAAATTGTAACCAACACCTAGTTTCAAGGGCACCAAAAATGCTTATAGACAGGAGAAACCTGGGTAGAGACACAAATAAGCAAATCAACTATATATCAATAAAAGATTCAGGAATGCAGTTTTACACTGTGCTGATTGTGGGAGCAACCACCTTCCAGAAAATACAGAAAAAAGTTATGGAACTTAATGAGAACCAAAACAATGCCCCACCAACCTGACATTGAACTACCACCAATCAGGATTAACAGAGGTCCTCTCAGGGAAGCACTGTGTCTTGAAAGACTGTTGGGCCTCAAACTTGCACCTGACCTCAAGTAGAATTTGTACATATGATCCATTGCTAAGGATGCAGATAAAATGGTTGACTCTCTCTACTGCTCCAGTAAGTACCTGACTCCTTCTCTCCTTTACAAGAGCCAGATCAGTTCAAAATTGGGGTACTGTTGTCATATTTGGGTGGGTGCTGCCCAGACCTCACTCACCAGCCTTGATAGAGTTCAAAAGCATCTCCGAGCCCTTGTGGATGATTAATTATTTTTCACCTTTCAACTTCTCTTGCACAGTTGGAATGTGGAAAGCCACTCACTGCTCTACTGCTACTCCCACTGAAGGTGCTTGAACAAACTCCCTGAAACCACTGAGGTCAACCTTCATAGCAAGAACCTGTTATGCCACTTACATAGTCTGTAAACCCACCCACATTCCCTCCATATTCTATCAGTGAGAAGTAAGTTATACTTGAGCAGCTTCTTCCTGCAAACCACTACCCTGTGGAATAAACTCCTAACAGGATGTTTCTCTGATCACTATAATCTTAACCTGTTCAAGGCCAGGATTAACCATTATCTTCCACTCCTATATGCATAAATGTCTTCCAAATGTAACCCTCTATCTCGAGTGACTCCTGGACCTTGTAAAGGGTGAACCTCATTGTAAAAAACTACAATATGACAGTCCCTTGAATGACCAAAGTTGCAAACAGATGTATGCAGAGTTAAAATCAAATATAATAATTTAGATTAGGCCAGAAATTCAAAGTGGAACAATAAAAAAGCGCTTGTAACCTAATAATAATTTTATTGGTTCAAAGCCACTAGTATTTAATTAAACATGAAGGCATCACACTTGATTTAATAGCTTGAAACAAGTGTCAAGAGGATTAGGGTAATTCTAATTATGAAGGGAAGCAGTCCTGTACATAAATTTAGAATTTTAACCTTCATTTCACCACATTCACTTCTCCCTCAACTAATCCAGTATAAACCATTTCCTTAATCATATGATTTGGTACTTTACAAATTTGTTCTGATTTGCGAAAAGGAATTTGTTCAACAGCTGGATGATGATCATCACCAACAATTTCTCTGCTTACTGTTTGTGGGATATGAGGCTGATTCCTTTTATCCACACTGATTTCTGAATTTGGTTGTTGAGCAATAAGATTTTTTTCTGGAGGACTATTGCCAGCTAGTGCCATTGTTTAGTCTGGACCATTGTTTCTCTATCATCAGAAAGACATGTGCATACTGATGGTTAGCCTCAATTAGATCTACCTCCTCAATGATTGGTTCAGATTTACTTTAATGCATATTTTTTTCATTAAAACAGAACCAGGGATAATTAGCCAGGATTGCCTGTCCTGATCTGATGCTCATTTCCACTGGAAGTTGAAGAGTTGCTCAAGTGGAGTACAGTTAGTAGAGGTGTACAGTAGAGATCAACAGTTCTGGGTATGGTTATATCCAGCAGCAAGGTCTCTGATTGGGAGATTAGAGATTTAGAGGAATGTGAAACCACCTCATAATGGCTGTTGTTCCCAAGTTCACCCTGACCTTGTGTGGTAGCACCTATTAGGATTTTAGCTATAAGCAAATAGTGAACATTCAAACTGGGGTCAAAACACTATGCTAGTATAAAAATACATTTTTATAGTAAAAATTTCCAGCAATAGATTTTAATAATAATAAAAAAAAAAAAAAAAAGCATTAAATAACACTTATAGAGTTGATATGCTGTTAAACAGCATATCAACTCTATAAGTATCATTTAATGCTTAAACTTTGGTTTAAACCAAACCAAAAGTAGAGATCAAATTGAATGTAGCACATCTGGAAGATTTTATAGGGAAATACTGTGATTTCAAAGCCTATAATACTGACCTCCAAATGATACTGTTGTATCTTTCAGTTGAAGATGTCACTGAGAAATCTGGAGTACTCCTTGATGAAGTCAACATCTATTTCTACCTAGAAGAACAAATGTGTCCTTTAAAATCTATATACAGTCTCTCAAATGACTGAGTTGCTTTAATAAAGCAAGATGGATCAGTTTTATATCTGCGTATATTTTCTTGTTGTATATGATAATTATTGCATGCATGTTTCATATGAATATGGCAGGTTCACAAAATGGAAAAAATGATGTAATCTAGTTATACCAGAAAGACACAAGGTACTATAGTGTTTCTGAGTTAAAAATGCACAATATTTTCTTTTCTGTCTGTAATGAATGCCATAGCTGTATGGAAAAAGCATAAAATTTTTGCCTCCCAAGTAACAAATGTTTCCAATGATTTATAGCTTCCACTATAGCATGAACTTCCTTTTCTACAGAAAAACATAACTGTTCACTTGGAATGTACAGGAATGAAAGGCAACAGTACTTCCAGCTTGGCTCAAAGTTTCTGCAATTGCAAAGTCTGAAGCATTGGTTTCCATTGGAAAATGAATATTCTCATCAATATCTTTGACTGATGATGCATAAAATCAAAAGAAGGAACCCTCATAATAGAAAAAGAAAAATTACTTCAAGATGGAATGAATCTGAGAAAGAATGCATAAAAATATGGAAAAACCTGAAATATTAAAGTCTGAAGTAAGATCAGTACTGGACAAGATGAACATGAACAAAGCAGCAGGACCAGATGGGATTGCAGCCTCAGATATATTTCTTTCATGTGTTTCATGTATATGCTTACCATCACTTGTGATAAGGGCAAACCCCTTCTTTCTGCTGGTATACATTAGACCCTAATTAGAAGAATTTTGTCTGTACACAGAATGTCAAATTTGCATCAGGTTATCTATCATGATGGTTGTACATCAAGGGAAAGATCTGATTTCAAACTGTTTTGAACCACCAATAGAACCTCATCTGTAGAAACCATTGTGAATAAGTTCACTACATGCAAACTTGCCATTTGATTTTCATAGATAAGAACAACTTGAACTGACTCCATAAAGTGGCTTGAATTCTTAACATATAGTGAAGACTTTCCTGTTAACTAACTAAAACTGAACCAAAATGATTATAAATCTCAAAAGAATATCAACTTTGTAAATCTTGAGAATGCCATACATGTGCAGTACCTTAATGTAATGTTGATTCATCTGTTTATATTTATTCATGGAGAAGTAGTCCTTGTCCTAATTTAGGATCTCTAACAGTTTTCTCTTGGTTTTAGAACTGAATCCAACTCAGCTTGCCAAATTCTTTTAGTATTCAAACTTATCAGATTGTGTTTGTCTGCTGGCAACATGATGGCATTGGTGTCACTATGTAAAGTTTTGAGGTTCAAAAGTTCTTTCCTTGTGATGTTTGAATTGAGAAACTTGGCCTTTTCTAGAGCTTGTCTTACATTCTGTCTTTGCTCATAGGCTTCAGCCTTAGAGAAAGTTTGCTCACCAATCTATGTGGAATGAAATAAAAATAGCAAACAGTAAAGGACACTTGAGAATCAAATGTCTGAAGAAATCAGTGTATATGTTCAGCAATTATGGCCTCCTCAGTCAACTTAACATAGACATAAATACCATATGGAAACCCCTAAGAAAGAAAGAACATTGTGTGCCAGCAACTAATAACACTGGGGCATGGCAAAGGAAGGCAATATAAAAAGATAAACAAATGGCAGCAGAAGGAACCAAGCTTGTAACAAGGCTGCAATAGAGATAAGAAAAACATTAAGTTTAAGATTACACTATCCCAGAGAATTAAAGGATTGGTTAATGAATTTAATCATATAGTAATTGTGTGTTCAATCTCTGGACTGAGTAATACAATGGAAACAGGTATAGCAGTAACTGAGCAGTACTAAAAGGATAATTAACCAAGAAAGATATCCTTAGACATGGACAGTGTAATGAGAACAATCTCCAACCATAGATTGAATAAAGGGTTCAGTTAGAAATTACCCAGATCAACAGACACCTGAAGAAGGCTAGAGACTATAACAGCTGAACCACTGTCTTAGTAAAAAACCATGTCCTCATGCCTGAATTCAAACAGACATTTCTTAATTATATGTTTCATATATTTCACCTTCATATATGCAGAGAAAGTTTAATTAGGCTTTATCTCATTAAGGAAATCAATTCACATCAATCAATTTACTAACTAGTTTTGAACTCTTATCCAAATATTTCATTTAGTTATAAAATATTTTCAACAAGTAAAACACTACAAAATTATTATCCTTTCTCTTCTATAAATCTTTATTAAAACAAATCAACTACAGAAAATATTAATCTTATTTAATTACAGTTAAAAAATAGAAAAAAAGGGGTTTCATATATAAAATTTGATTAATAAATATGAAAATAAATTTAATCATAATGAAAAATTGAACAAAACATATTTTCTTTTTTGGTATTCAGATAATGCTTTCTTAAAAGTATATTTTTCAGAATAATTTTAATAAGTTTAAGAAAAAGTATGAATGCAGACATATATTTCCACTATGAATTATTCCAAGATTATATTGCACATATATCAGCAATTATCTGCTTGATAGTGAGTGTTTTCTAAATTCAATTGAAATTTAAAGCTGTAAGAAAACATCTACGGGATCAGTATAGAGGTGATGAAAAAGAAAGTTGACTGATCTATCAAATTCATATGAATAAATTGCATTTTGGGAATCCTTTTTGATTTTTTTATAGAGATTTTCAATTCTTGATAGGCGATCGTATTGGGCTTCCATAACAGTATGCTGTAAGAAGTGTTGAGCCTGAAATATAAGAATAAAATTATTATGCTAATAATAACTGCAAGTACTTCCAAATGGTGTTTTCAGATTCTTATAAACAAGTATTTATAGAAAGTATTCACCTTTGATCTCTTCTGTTTTAGAGAAAAAAACTATCTAATTTGAATTATCTAAAAAGATAAGCAAAATCTGTTTTTAAACAGTGTCAAATGAATGTCAAAATATCTGATCAGAATTTGCAATTCATTTCTCTGGCATCACCAAGAGAGAAGATACATTTTATAGTAACACAACTATGGAACATTTTAAATGAACTAAAACTGCATTTCACCTTCCTTATCACTAGCATCTTATTCTCTTTCTCTCACAATAATTCTATAATGGTATTATTGCTTTACTTTGGGTGAAATGATTAATAACATTATAAAAATAACATTTTACACAAGTGTGAAAAATAATTACAATTTTTAAACTCTCATCAAGCAGTCGTGATATTAATTGATTATCTAAAAAGACTTTAAAAATGGTAACAAAATTACTTTTAACTTCAATTTAGAATTTAATTATTGATAAATTTTGATGTTGGAAAATAAAAATTCTTCATAACTCAGTTTTTCTGAGAGAATCAATGTCACTTTATTTTTTGTTCATTTTCAAAGGCAAAAATCAGAATGATATTCTAGTTTATGTTATAATTTCAGTGTGATATAAGATGGTAAACTATACTGGATTATGAAATTAGAGTAAATTTGTAGAGTCAATTGGGATAAAGGCTTTGGATGAAAAAGAACAGATTTGTTTTCATAAAAAAGGAAATTCTTTAATCTTTCATTTTGGATCAAGTGATTATAATAAGAATAGATCTTAAAAAGATATGTTTTGCCTTATTACAAGCTCTTTTGAAAGTTTCATAGAAATTATATGGATTTGAAATTTTACTTACATGTATATCCATATCTTTTAAAACATCTGTGACATTTTTAGTCAGCTGTCTCTCTGTTTTATAAAGAAAATTCATTGCTTTTGCAGCATTCATCTAGAAAAAGATAAAATATATTTTGCTAGAAAATGGGATACATTATATTTGAAATTATATTATTAAATTAAATAGTTAACAAAATATACACATAAAACCCTTTTCACATTGAAAATAAGAATAAAATAATTTTGAATTTTAACCACTGAAACTTCAATTAAGAGTACATATACATACATATGTACATATATTTCTAAGGACTCAATGGATTCTTTATCTAACATTATTTCCTACTAAATGTTGTGTTTGAGTAGTAGATGTCCTGTTTATTTTTAAACAGTGTGAATTGTATCTACTGATCTGTTCAATTGAGAAATTGCAATTTAAAGAAAATCTGCTTTCCAGCAATATCCAAATTTGTGACCCTCTTTGTAAGAGAAATCATGGTCTAATGTAGCATTTTCTTTAGAATACATGATACATAAATATAAAAATTAAATAACTGATTAATAAAATAAAACTGAATATAATTAAGCAGCTTATATAATTAGTAAGTTTAAATATTATGATTTTAAATGATGCCTCCATTTTCTGAATTATGTGATCATTGGTGAATTTGCCATGTTTATTTTGTAAAGATGAAATTATAAGAAAAATTTCAAATTAAATAAATACATTCATTACAATAACAAGTTTTATTTTACTTTGTGAAAAAATATAGATCATTTATAAAATCAATGAATATTTTTAGTAACATTGATATTAAATAAGTCAAAAATAATTTCATTAACAAATAAAATAATTTAAAACATTTTACACAAAATAAAACCAAATTGAGTACAAACTTACTTTATAATCTAAAATATTCATTTGTGCACCATTTTTATTGACCTGGAAATAGAAAATTGATAATGAGGTTACTGTAAAAGTAAATAAGATATTATAGTTGATATGGCAACTTTACTCTTCTCATTTTTTAATTATTCTTATCATAGTGGAACCTCGACTTACAAACATCTCCACATACAAAAAACTTGCCTCATGAACAAAAATTTGTCAGAAAATTCGTTTCCACTTCGAGTTTGACTTACAAATTAATTTTGGCTTACGAAATTAATAGGTTTCCCGTCAATTCATTTCAAACTAGATATTTAATAAATGTACCGTAAATACTTTTAATCTTATCTAAATGTACTGTATTTTATATTTTTATGTTTTATATATTATTATATATTTTATATATATTATATAATGTATAATATATATAATATATATATAATATAATATATATAATGTATAATATATATAATATAGTATGATACAGTATTACAATACTTTTTTATACTGTATTTTTTTGCCGTTTGTTCCTTTACATTTTTCGATGCAGTTACTGTGTTTAATGTGTTACTGTAAATTACTGTACATGTACAATAAATTTTAAATTTTAGTGGGTAATTTTTTGATAATTTTTGTAGCCCATAATGTCTCCCAAGAAGCTGGTTGCTACTAAGAAGAAGGAAAAAATAACCATACAAATGAAGGAGATCATTCAGAAGCACAAAGAAGGTACCTGTGTTTCTGATCTTACCAATTTATACGGACATTCAGCATCAACAATCCTAAAGAACAAGATAGAAATAAAAAAAAAAAGCTTGCTAAATCTAAGGGAGTTAGCATAATTATCAAGCATCATCCAAAGTCTTAGAGGATGTTGAGAAGCTGTTAGTGTTGTTTTGTGGATGAGAGGCAGCTAAATTGATTTTGTGTCTGAAGATATTACAATGGAAAGGGCACTATATGTGGATTTTATCAGAAAAATACCAGGCAGATCTTCTGAAGATGAAAATACATTTGGCAAGCCAAAGATGAAAAGTTTAAAAAGAGAACCAGCATCCATAGTGTGTAGTGAGATATGGAAAGGCTGTGAACTCTGATAAATCTGCCTTGTTTCAGAGGTGTTTTGAAGTGATTGAAAATACAAACTTAGCTTTTTGGAAGGGTCACTTCAATATCCTAAATTGCTTAAATCTCATTGATAAGGCTTAGGAAGGAGTTACATTGATATATTTATTTACATTATTTGTGTATAATCTTTAAAGAAGTACTTTAATTTTGCATAAAATATGATTTTTATCAATAATTTGGAATGAATTAATTTAATTTCTATTATTTTAAATGGAGAAAACTGTTTTGACATACAAAATTTTCAGTTACAAATCCACTCCTGGAATGGATTAAATTTGTAGGTCGAGGTTCCACTGTATAATAAATATTAGAACAATCATAATTCTTTTAATTTAAAAGAATTGTGATTGTTCTAATATCATTTAAAAATAAGTGATTGTTAAAATGCTATAAAGATTCCTTTATACTTCTAAAGAATGTTTGAAATAGTTTCAATAATTTTCTTTGAATTAACTTTTTTGATAGATGTTCTTCAGGCAAATAAAATGAAAGTCATGAGATTACTTTTACCAAGTATATATTTTTAAATAAATATGTAATAGTTACATTAACAGTACACGTAAGAAATAACTTTAAAATATTGGTGAAATTAAGTTCTCTATCTAAAATAAAAAAAAATAAGCAAAAATCAATGAGTCAATATTGTAATGTAAAAAATATTTAAAGGTAACTCTTACTTTAAATTTCCTAACTGATTATTTTAGTATTTGTATTATTTACAGTATATTTAAATGGCTGCTAATTAGTGATGCTTTTGTTACAACAAAAAGATGTATTCTTATAGTATGGATTTTTAGTGATAGCAACAAATAAATCACTAAATAACATCTAGCTCTTAGTACTAGACTATGTAGGAATAGAAAATCAAAATAATAATAAAATAAAAATTCAAAGTTGATGATATCTTTTTAACACCCAAACAAAATTATATATATATATATATATATATATATAAAATAAAAAAAAAAAATAATATTCAGACAAGGCCAACACATCACTAGAACAACCCACAACAGATTTTATTAAGATCAGTTTAATCAAATTCAGGGAGGCACGGTAGCAGCTCGGACTGAGGAATTGGAGAGCCGAGTTTGAATTCCAGTCGAATCCATTACATTCACTTACGTGCTAATACCATTGGGAAAAGTATGAATCCTCTTCTTCTCCCTCCAGCTATGGGTAAATAGCAGGACAGACTGGGTTCTATAGCCTTGGATGGCAAGTAGTTTACCGCAGAAAGAAATGGTAACTTACTGTGGGGAAAAAATCTGACTTGTCAGTCATGTATCAAAAGATACATGATTGCCTAAGCGCATGGCATGTAACTGACATATCCCACATGGCACATAACTGACTGGTAATCAAATTGATTATGTTTGCAAAGGTGAAAAGAAAAGAAGAAGCATTATTATGTTAATTTTGCATTTCAAGATCCTTATTATAAAATAACCTACATATCATTACAAGCATAATATTCATTAATATTGTTCTAAGTAAAGAGACATAGAACAACAGATTTCAATTTACAATCTATCAAAAATGTTGGTTTTTCTTGACTCCATGATCATAAATAATAAAAAAAAAATAATTGAATGAAAGCAGAGAACTCTTTCTCAAAAGTTGCGATGATTACTCGTAAATCTGAGACAATACATTTGTTGATTTATGAGTTCTATAAGCAGAATTTGTAAAAATAATTTTGATTTAATATGTTACCTCTTAAATGAAAGCACCAAATTTAAGATATATGCTTATGTCATATTATAATTTTGAATTTCATGTCAATGTTAAGGATTGTAAAGAGTTCAAATCTCTCATTATACTTAATAATACAAACTTTTTTTTTTCTAAACATAATTACTGAATTCATTTTCACTGAGTAAACAAATACATGTATCTTTTCTATCAGTTGACAATAAAAATAACTTACCGATAAATAAGAAAGAAAATTAAAATCTGCATTACGTGTAGTCATGTAATTCATGCACGCATCAGCAAGTTTTATTTTATCTTCAGCCAGTGTATGAACCATCTTACTGATTCCCAGGAAAGCTGCATCAGAATGATTCAAAACCATACTCTGGAATTAATATTTAAAAAAAAACATGTAAGTTGAGTGAAGAAGTGCATAAAAATTGATTTCTTAGCAATAATTATATAATATAGAGCTATATTGGAATGGATCTGAGGACTTGATTAAAAGTTGGGTTTTTCATGGAAATATTTTGAGTTGATATGATTTAATTGCTTAATGGCATATCATCTTGATATGTCCCAGAAAGGGATATATTTGTTTGAAGTAGCAAGGTGTGTTGTTGACTATTGTAACCGGGTAGGACAATCTAGCAGGTAACCGTAATGTAGTAGGTCCTCGTCGTAGGCATAGGCAATAGGTGTACTCAATATACCTCCAGACCAGTCTGTATTTATGGCGGACACCAGCCAATCATATTACTGTGAGGAGGAACCCAGGTGTATGCCTATTCATTACATCACATCTCCTTATGGGTCATTTAATACCAAAATTTAATTTTCTTGGACGCTTTGATTGATTGATTGATTATGTTTAATGGCCCTTCAACCTCTTCTGGGTCATTTAGAGCCAAACTGATTGTTTTATAAACATATTTTATAGTTCGTCAAGTATGGATGAGAGTAAGTTTTAAAGAAAACAATAGCACTATATTCATGCAGAAGATTACGACCCAACCCACTTCATAAGTTGAATACAACACTTCAGCTGGTTTGGTTAAATCTGGCATAAGGGTTATATCGGAGGTTCTCTTCAGGCAGGCAGTCACGTGATATCAGGTAACAAAGTTTCTCTCGTCTCAGTGTCTGCAACAACTACTCTCTTGGTCACTTTGATTCCTTGCATTTATTGGCATTCGCCTAAAACCGGCATGGGGTATGATGTGGTTAGGGGACTTGGTGTTTCTCCTATCTTCCAACAAGATCCCTTTTGCTGTCTGGCTCCACAAAATTAATTACATCACCAAAATTGGGGATATTGCCTTTTCCTATGGGTAGTTATCAGGGCAAATCAATACCTGTAACAGGTATTGATCCACCCTGTTAACTTCCTCCTTCTTATTGGCATCTAACACCAACACTTCTCAATGTGTGTGGGCAATTCCTGCACCTTCCTCAGTATTTCACCTGCAACCTTGGCTACCCCTCTGCCAATCTAGTTCTTGACCATTTGGTGTAGCTTAAATTACGGTTATCAATTAACAATTATCATTTCAAATTTCGCTTATGTAAAATTTTCTCAGCCTGGTTTTTGCTTAAAAATCATAAATTTACCAGGTAGTTCCTCCAGCCAACCATTATCACAAACCTGTCAGGGTCATTGCACTCCAACCACAAAGAAACTATTCTTGAGATTTGGTTATAGATCAAATCTTATCCATCCTATTTTGTGTTTTTATAACTGATGCTACTTGAGTTGTCTCTTTAATCAGCTGCCAGCTTAAAGATCACTACATGGCTTCTTGTGGTAATATCACCTTTCTTTAAGTAAGTTTTCTAGTTTTAGAGAATTAAGCTTTCTTTTCGAAAAGAAAATAGGAAATCGTAATTCTTTCTCTCAGTCTGTCCATTTATCTATTCATTAACTCTTCTCGTCTTGTTCTGAGCTATGTTTTGTTAACCCTTTCTTTCCATTTGCCAGTGCCAAATAGTTTTGGTACTGTCTCTTGGATCATTTTTAGAGTTTGTCATATATTTTTGTTTTTGTATTTGCCATATGTGCTCCCCACCTGCCTTTTTAAGGGTTGCTATTATAGGGGTCTAATTCCATTTGCCTTGATACACCAGAGCTACACAGACAGTATAGTTGTGCTGAAAATGGCCATTAGCATCCACATCTTCCCACCATTTCTACTGAATTATAGTATAGTGTAAGGATTTGCAGCCATGTCATAGCCATTTTCTTTTATCTCAATTAGCCCATGCCACTATGTGACTAGCCGATTGTATTGTATTGGACTACTCTATCCACCTGTCTATCTCAGGATGAGACCAAAGTGGCATGTAAAATTCCTGGCCATTTTTTATACCAGATCAGGAGTCACTCAGTCACCAGAATGCTGTCCCTGGACATAACAGGTCACCACCCATGGTAAACAGGTGGCCCTATTGAGGGGAATTTATAGTTTTTGGGAATTGGTTTTTGTAAATGTGTGCTTTATATATATTGCAATTTTATAGATATTTTGTATGGATATGTAGTTTAGGCATAGCATTTTGTGTAAACAGATTTTTGTTGGTAGTTTAAAGGTATCTATTTGTTTTTCAATAGAGTGTATAGAAAATTATATTATTTTTACTGAAGGCATCACCTTAGGCATAAATGTATAGGTTGTAGGTTTATCGTACAAGCTGACAGCTTTTTGATGACATTTCATAAACAGTTAGTTTCTAATCCACTTTGCTTCCTATACTATGCTGTGTTTTAGTCTAAGTATCATATTTTTCAGTGTTCCAGAGATTTTTATTAACTTATATGTGATCTGATCAACAAGTATTGCAACTGTTGCTATGGTAATGGAGCTAAAGCACAGAAAGGAGCTGCTGGAAACAGATTGACCTTGAACTCTGCTGCATATGCACACTGAGTTGTATTGTTCTGGCTCACTTCCTTTTTTTTATAGCAGTGCTAGGGAAGAAAGCATGTGGAGTGTGGTCATCTCATCATACCAAAGAGTTTTCATCAGTGACACAGGTCAAAGAAAATTAAGCAGAGAATCGACATCAAAATTTGCTAAAAACTTGGTGATATGTGCACAGAGACTTATGCAAAGTATCAGAAAGTGTATGGAGAGAAGTGTATGAGCTGGACATGAGTATACAAGTGATTCAAATGTTTCCAAGATTGCTAACAAAGTGTCAAAAGTGATGCATGTTTTGGGAGACTTGCAACTCACAAATGGGCATGCAGCTGTTTGGAAAGACCTTCAAATCATCATGTATAAGTTGTCAGAGGATGTGAACATCATCATCAGTGATAATAGACTGAACTGTAACAGTTCAGTCTATTATCACTGATGATTTGGGTAGGGGACGTGTGTCTGCCAAAACTGCTTTCAGTTGACCAAAAGAAAATTGGGTTTCAGCTGCACAGGATCTCCTTGATTGTGTCAAGGAAAATGAAAACTTTTTGAAAATGGTCATAATTGACAAATCATGTGCCTATGACTATGGCCCCAAAACCTGTCTTTGGAGTGGAAGACCCCAACCTTTGCAAGATCAAAGAAAGCATGAATGTCAAAGCAATGTGAAGCCACTGTTGATAGCTTTCTTCAACTACAAGAGCATTGTTTATCATGATTATGTTCCACCTGGTCAGAGAGGAAACAAGGAATACTTTGCAGGATGATGCTCATAGGAAAAGGACAGAGATGCATATGCCCAGTGAGTAGCAACTCCACCATGACAATGCACCTATCAATTCAGCACAGATAGTCTAACAGTTTTTCACCAAATACAAGATTCTTCAGGCCTGACAACCACTATATTCCCTAGATATTACTCCTTGTGACTTTTTTTCTCTTTCCAAAAATTAAATTTCACTTGAAAGGAATAATATTTTAAGACATTGAGGAAATCCAAGAGAATATGAGGCAGTTGCTTGCTATGCCAAAAAAGGAGTTTGAGAAATCCTTCCACCAATGGAAATGATGCTGTATAAAATGTGGGGCTTCAGACATGAAGGAGATTAAATGCCAAATTGATATGTGTTGTAGTTTTCTTTTCTTTTTTAGCATCAGTTCTGATACTTTCATGTGTACCATTGTTTTGATGCTGCTCCAAACAAACACCAGTCACCACACTTTACTGTTTTTGATGTATATATTTGAATTGTTTCTTGTACCAATAGTTTTTTTTTTTTTGGGGGGGCATTCTCTCTTGCATTAACATTCAATTTTATTTTGCTTTTATCACCATAAATCACTTTTAGTTACCACTTTTTCTTTATTTCATAGCAGATGTTCTTTGGCCTAGTGTTTTTGGTTTATTCAATGTTTTTTGGTTAATTATGACAAAAGAAGTGCTGCAATGCATCCACTTAGATTACTTTCACATAGTATCCTTACTGTATGAATTGACACTTTAGTACAAATGTTATTTTCATTCATTAATTGAGGAGCTGTTAATTTTAGGTTGGATACTGATAAACTCGCTAGATTTTTTATTTTTGTCTCCTAAACATGCTTTTTCTGGGGGAATTGGACAGCATGCATTGATATTCCAAGGTTTTAGTGATTTCATGTTCACTCATTCTTCCTGACATTTTGATAATTTTCATCCTCATTTCAAACTCACTTCTTCCATTTTGAAACTTAAACTACACTATAAACAAATCCAAACAAAACAAAGTTGATACTTCCAAACTTTATGCAATCTGTGTTTGATCATTTAACATGGGAAATTTGTATCTTAATCTGGGATGGTGTTAATCTTGAGCTGGTATTTTCTTCCAACCTTCCTTTGCAATTTGTACAAGCTCTTAAATATTTACGGGTTTCCTTTCTCTCATGACAGATTCCAGCTAACCCTATAGTTTTTCAATGGTATTGAGATCAGAACTCATTGATGTCTTCATTTTTAACTGTTACTATATGCTTTGTATGTGTGTCCTGGGCTGTTATCTTTCTGGAGAACCAACAATCTTCAACTCAAACCTAGTTTACTTATACAAGGTAGCACATTTTGCTTTAAAATCTCTTAGTAATCCTAAGATTCTATGATTCCTTTGATATTGCACCACCAGTATCAGATGTAGCAAAGCAACCCCACAATATTAGATCATCTATCATGCTTAACTGTTGGTATAGTGCTCTTTTCCTTATAAGCTTCATTTTGCCATCTGTAAACATTATTAGTGTGCATTGCCAAAAAAACTCTATTGCTGTTTAGTGCACTGCACATTGTTCCAGAATGATTGTAACTTGCCAAGGTACTCTTTGGCAAAGTTCAATCATTCCTTGTTATGCCTTTTCTTTAGTAATGGAGTTTTCCTTGGTCTTCACCCATAAAGCCCTGCTTGGTTTAGAGTGCACTGTATGGTATGTTATGAAACAATTACACCAGACTGCTCCAGGCTGCCTATCAGGTCTTTGGGTGTTTTATGTGATGGTTTTTCCATGATTAGCACCAACCTTCATGGAATTTTCTCATCAATTTTCCTCTTACTCCCATGTCCAGGGAGGTTCTTAACAGTTCCAGACTTAGCTAACTTCTTAATAACAGTGCACACTGTTGACACAGAGGTACAAAGGATCCTTGGAGATGCCATTATACTCTTTAGAGGTCTTGTGCTTACTAATAATAGCAAATCTCATGTTTAGCTCTTTTGATGTCACCATTGTGACAAAAAGAAAAGGGAAAAGCATGTGGCTTTTTAAAACATTGAAGTCATCAATCATTAGCTAATTTCTATCTTGTAGGCACTGAGTTTTTTTTTTACAGGTGATTCTAATTTACCATAGGATAGTCAAAATGGTTTTTACCCTTTTTTTTCATTTTTAAATGGTACCAATACAGTGTTACAGTAATCTTTCAGTTTTTCTATTTTTTCCTCCTATTGCTTTTTTAAAATCTTGTTTTATCATTGGCAGTTATTATAGACCAAAGATTTTATTTTTCAGGAAATATTTTACATTATGTAATGAAAGGACAGTATTACTCATATAAAGTTAAGTACATTCTGAAAATTTTACCAAGATTAATTGGTTAATACTAATTTTAATGTAAAACCATTGACTTGTATAAGAAAAACTTACAGTACATATACAGACTTAGTACACTATTAATAGTATTTGTGGTATATTTATGTTAAAATTAATCTCATTTTACTATTCCCAATGTAAGCAACAATGATACTAGTCTTACTTTGTTTGGAAAATATTACTTTTATATGTAAATTTACATCCAACTCACAAAATCAAGGTTAAATAGTAAAAACATCACTGAGATGAGAAAACTTGATTTTCTATCATGTTTTTAATTTATATTCAATTGAATTAGCTAGCTTTAATACAAATTTGTTCTTTTTTGAGAATATAGTGTAGTGATAAAATTTCAATGTTACAAGTTACTTTGTCCAGTGTCCAATGATAAATTTGTTTCCAAATTTATTTAAAAAAATTGTTAAAAAAAGTTCAAAACAATCAAAATATTGATGTTACAAAGAATAGGGAAACAAAATAAATAATGAAATAAATAAATGTTAGATGAACAAAAAATTTAAAATATCACTTACTAGTATTGAGTAGTAGTAGTTAGCATGGAAAAATGACATGGTCAATTTCTCCATTTTAAAATAGTTGAATGTATTCTCATCTGTAAAGAAAAAAATGTACATCGGCTTCTATTTTCAGTTTGACACAGAACAAAAACTACACTAAAAATTCTATATTGTATTTTTGTTACACACAGCATTCTTTGTGTGGAAAATAAATACAATTAATTAAAGCATTGTAAACTTCAGCTTGCAATGAAGGATAACTTTCTGAGACTTATTTAGTGGAAAAATATATTGTATAATACTTGAAAATATGGTCTGTGCAAATACAGGTTTGGAATCACATTTAGAAACACAGCAGCTAAAATGTGCATATAACATATTATCAAATGTTACACAGAGTCAATCAGCTATCTTACATATCCTCATAATATGCCATTCTTGCTCCCTCCCTGTGTACACGTACATCCTTACATTCTGTAACCATCTACCTTGAGCTAGTACTTGTATTGGGTGAAAAATATAGTAAAAAAGAGACATACCAGTACCTGTCGGTTGCCAATTGAGCAAACTGTAAAATAGTGAGAGTTAAAAAGTAACCAGAGAGATTCATTGACAATGCCCCATAAGAGCTTGATTGGTCATTTTTAAGATGGAATGTCAGTAATTTTAAAAAGATGAAAAAAAAATTCGATTTTTTATATCCAAAAGATTGACGCAACACAATCTTTCTTCATCTTATGTTCTTCTTTGTACCGGATTAAGCTTAAGTGAAAATAAGTATATTAATAATTATTTAAAATGTAAAAATGATTTATATAGGAAAAACATGTACATTGTACATTCATTTTCAATTCCATAATTGATAGATAAAAAAATTGACTACTCTATACACAACTGTAAAATCGCTTAGCCTTGTAATTAAAAATTAAACTTATCTCCTTCCCGTACAAAGTTTAAAAGTTCTGTTAAAAAGTAAAAAAAACAAACAATTCCTCTTTAACCGCTCTTAGAGGTTAAAAAAACAAACATTTTTAATCTCATTTACATTTCATTTTAGAAGATTAAAACAATTGTAAACAAAAAAAAACAAAAAAAATCGAGAATGGAATTTTTGGATAACTTGTTTTTATTTTTGTAATGAATGTAAAAATGAAACGGTTTTTCGGTATACTGCAAATAACCAAGAAAACAATGTCCCCCTAGTACTGAAAAATACAGTTCAGAAGTTGTTTTTTTTTTTTATAAAATGAACTTGTGTTCAACGAAAGCATCTTGTAAAAATTGCAATAATAGTAAATAAAAGTTTTAACTTCCGAATTTTGATTAAACTTTTTTTAATTTTATAAAGAAACGTAAACTAAATAAAAATATTAAGTAAAAAAACAAACTACCCATCCATCTTAGCGGAGGAAAACATGAATACAACCAAAAATAAACATTATTCTTGAATCTTGCCTGTTCTTTCTGTTTCTCGAAAAAAAATATGCATGATGATAGTGGAAACTAGGAACTTAAGTTTTAGAAAAAATATCAACAGACCTACTTACTTTGAGAATAAACAACCGTAATAAATATTAGAAATAACAAAATCCTTTTCATTTTCCTCTTTGTATTTTCCTTATAATTAAATTTGCTTTTTTCAAAGCAAGCAATCCACTCAATATAAAGTGGGCGAAAAACTGAATTTGCAACTTGAAAGCTGCTGCTGCTGCTGTTGTGACCTTTTAAAAGTTGATGACATTTCCAGCTTTTAGGAAGGTTCAACAAACTATTTTGCATTTTTGCATGAGAAGACAATTTTAAAAGTAATTTGGCGTGATCCGTTTTAGAATTTTTCAAAAAGCATGGTTGGAATAGTATGAATAGTAATTAGTAGACGTACATAAAAGAAATACTTATCGAAACGAAAATCAATAATAATCAAACAAAATTATTTTCTTGTTATAAAATTTGACTCTATTTTTCTTTATTTGTCTATATTTCTGAGATGAGGTATTGTTTACACTTTAGGTGCCTCCACTAGGTCGCGTAAAAAACAGCATGAAATAATGAAAAAAAGGCCCCAAACTTAATAAAAACAAAGTTTTGTCATGTCAAGTTTTATGTTCAAGGGGAAAGACCAAAGTATTTTTTATATTGTTCAGACTGTTATCCTCATCTTTGTTGCCATATTCACGACGTTTCGACCGTTGCACGCTCCAGCCTACTTCCGGTGATTGGAATTTCGAACTGAACCCTTTTTTTTTATTTCGTCCACCAGGGTAGATTGTTCTAATTCCACGTGCCAAGCCTCTTCAGGATGTCAACTCTCCAAGTTTTTGTTCAGCACTGCAGTAGCCAGGTATTGAACTTGCAGGGACATTATTATTATAAATAAACAAAAATAAAATATAAAATAATAATAATAATGAAAATTATAAATAAAATAAAACAGTAACATTTAAACTTTGTACAAAATAAATTAACAAAAAATAAAATAATAAAAATACTCCCAGCATGCAACAAAACTGTTCCTGCGAAAAGATGTTAAAATCAATCTCTTCATCACAAACTTTCATATGGGCAACACTTGTCCAATCTCTCTCAGTGACATGGCGTGTAATAATATGGGTTGACTTCTCCCTTTTATCACATGTACCATAAAAAATTGTAACCTAAAAAATACACACACTGTATGAAATTAACGTACAATTTACTATGCCATCATTGTTATCTCTGTATGTTTCATTTCTGCTACATATGATTTTATCTCCATGAAAATGAGGCTAATTTCTGCTGATTTGATGTGAGTGACCCTACAAACTCACAACTCTTTGGGTTATATTGCTGCATCCAACCACTGTTTTTATCCACTGAGCAATGTGTCACTGAAGACATTAGTGTATTAATATTTTTGGACTTATAAACTTTATATATGAATAACCATTTTTACCTGAGTTCATATTGCAATTTAAAGGGAGATAACTGAGATATCCAGAAGAGGTATGGCATGTTGAACAAGAACAATCTACTCCGGTGGATGAAATAAAGGATTCAGTTTGAAATTCCAATCACCTGAAAAAGGCTGGAGTGTCCAACGGCTGAACATTATGAATATGGCAACAAAAATGAAGACAACAGACCAAACAATGTAAATAGCTATTTTTCTTTATAGACCTGTAGCAACCATAAACAAACAATAAAGTAAAGATGTCTGTTATCCTGAGAGGAAGTTTAGGTTACACATTTTAATTTGTTTTCAAGATTTAAATATCAGATATTTCTTTCAAATTCTTTTATTTAAGAGAGTGGGTCTGTAAGATGTTTTATCAAAAATAAAAATGTGTAGAAAGAGACAGTATTCAGAAAAGTATGTTCATTAAAAATAAAATGGAGATTTGGGATTTCCTTTAATGTTCTAATGCTCATATGTTATAAAAACAACTAAATAGTGAGAACATAAATGAAAGTCATGTTTCATTTACAGCTGGTATCATCAATTAGATAGAAAATAAATTTTTTTGTTTACCAAGTTAAACCAGTTTCACAATTTCATATTGCAAGCCTAAACAAAGTAATTATTTAAAGAAATATCCACAAATCTTGGGTGTGTGAGTAGTGTAACAGTTTATAACATGTCTTAAATAGCAGGTCTAATTGGGCTTTCTTGCCTTGCCTGTCAAGAAGAAAAACTGAATTCTAAACCAGCCTGAAGAGAGATTGGTTCCATCAGGCTATCTTGCTCTAGATATGATATGGCATGTACATGATATAAATATTAAATAGAAAAATATGTAAAACCTGAATCATATGAACAACTTATCATGGCTAAAATATTGAACTTAATTCTGTAAGCATACATACTCTGTATAATAGTAATGTTTATTTTAAGAAAAAGTTAAATTTCAAACAGTAAACTCAGTGATGAAGATTTTAGTTATATTTTGTAATGTTGAAAGCAAACCCAGGATGTGTCATTCTCTACTATTTTTTGTTTATATGAATTATTTTTTTTACTACCAACTAAAATAATGCTGATGAGTAAAAAAATGAGGCTATCTATTCTATTCAGTTGCAATCCAATCTGATAGCAAACATACATTTATTAGAACAATATTCAGACTTTGGTCTGCTTTAAAATGAATCTCTTCATTCACATAAGGTCAATATATTTTATCATTTTAATAAGCTCAAAGTAAAAGTAAAAAATTAGATCAGTACTATTAATTTATGACCCTTTTAGTTTGTTAAAATCACAACTTTTTGGCCATTGTACTCTCTGACCTTCTTCAGGTACCAGTATTTGTTTGCTCACAAGTACCTTTTCGAATTTTGAATTTGAATTTGATCCTTTATTCAATCCATTGGGGCAGATTGTTCTCGTTCCACTTGCCATGCTTATTATGTATCAGTTAGTATTCACCAGTTTTATTTACCGTTACATCACTTGCTTGTTTCTTTCACTGAATCAGTAAATAGAAAAAGAGGGGGATTTCAAATCTCTTATCCTGTTTCCTTTTAAAGGTGCTAAATGAAAAAGACAAGACTCTAATTCAAAATGAAATTTGTAAAGAATCAAATATTTATTCAAATAATAAAAAATATTTTATAGCATGTACGGTCAATCTACCTGTCAAAAAGTGAAAAATTCAAATCCGAGTGTTGTGTCCCCAAATACAATAACGTGAAGAAATTATTTTTTTACGTAGGAAAAAATGAAAACCAGGTTGAAATAATCATATATTTATGTACACATTAACATTTGTTTTTATATGTGTTTGTTATAGTCGTAAAAAATCAAAGTTCAAATGTTCGATAAAAGTTTTCATTTGTAGTTCATAGGCATATTCCTTGGATAAAGTGTGTATATATGTGCGTGTGTCACATTTTAAGCATATTTTAATGGAGTGTATGTGTGACTGCTGATTGAATGTGTGTATGTGTGGGTGGGGGGTGAAGCACATTAGAAGAAACATGTGTGAGTGAACACATTAAATCTGATTATGGTGGTTCCAAAAGATAGTTTGTTGGGTATGTCTCGGTGTATATTTTTCTGTATTTACGTGAGTGCTTTGTGATAAGTGAAAACAGTAAAATTCAATCAGATGTCAGAAATTCCTTATGGATAAGTAAATTGCGAGTAACTCCCTCGAGAAGGTAGTGTATTTTTGTTGTGCATTGTTAAATTTTATCGAGAAAAAAAGGTGTTCTCTTTTCTGAGCCATTTTGTTTTTGATATAGAACTGCTCCAATTGAATCTCTTGAGGCGCTGGTCGTTAATGTGTGTTGAGTTATCGTCATTAATAATATAGGAGAGTTTAGTAAAATGTGCTAACGCTTTTTTAGCATCATGAAATGCAGTTAATGCTTCTCCATCGATAAGTATTTTTGCATTCTTATTCTTTTGTTTTTTCAACATGTTTGTGAGTGGGGTCAAAATTCTGGAACAACCTGGAATAAATCTACGGTATAAATCTTCGAATAAATCTTCATAGTTGATTGCGGGAAATGTGTGTGTATGTGGGTGAAGCACATTATTAGAAACGTATGTGTGTGAGTGCTAATATGTGAAATCTGATTACGGTGGTTCCAAAAGGAAATGGACATACAGATAGATGATCAGACTTACTTTTTTCCCAAGGCTTTGAATATTTCTTTGAATTGTGTGAATATTTCTTTGAATGGTGTGTAGTACTCGCTTACTAAGGTGTTGTCATAGTAGCGAGAGACTTCTGGTCGTATGTTTACAGATCCAACCAGGTGAACCACGTCCAGCTGCTGGCTGGGTTTTTTCTTTGTTTTTTTTTTTTTATTGACCACGAAATAGGTGTATATATAGTTATCCTGATCACGTGATTGACTCCAAATGAAGCTTTCGGTTTACGTGGGATAGCACCCAGCGACTAGTTCATTTGGCGTCCAAACATATGGACGTAGTGACTGTATTACCCACTCAAATTCCAGAAACCACTTATTTAATTTTGGATCCTATTTTTTTTTTGTTCTAGTGATTCTGATCCTATTTATGTGTGGGCGTTTCTTACTTATTTGTTTTGATTTTATAGAATTTATAGGATTTTATATCCCATAAGCATACAAATTGGTACAAAATAAAATGTGGGCCTTGCACAAATTTTCTCTTGTGCACCTTAAACTACCAAAGCAGATTAGTAGTTCATTCTGTTTGGTTTTTTTTTTTTTTTAGAAAACAACAGTTCATGAAAAGAAAATTTTCCTTAACAACAAAGGATCTTTACTTACTTTCTTTTAGAAAAAAAGTTTATTTAAATCAATTTTTTAGTTACAAAGTAAAACTAACGAATTTTATCAAAAAGTTTTCAAAATCAAAAGTTTGAAGATTGAAGGTGGAAGTGATAAAAAAGGAAGACTTATCTCAGGCAGTCCTGATTTTCTGAGCCCTTTTTTGACAAAATATTCTGGTTTTAGAAACAGACGCTTGGAAATGCGGTAACAATTCATAATTTTAAGAAAGACATTTAAATATGCATATGAGATATCTCTAATTTTTCAGAGACATTCTGGTTTTTAAAGATTTTTCTTCAACAGTGGCAGCAGTCTTTCTTCCCCAGATAACAGCCCCTTTCCTTGTCTGAATGTGT